TACCTTGTTTACATATATGAACCAGGGAGCCATAAGACAGTTTGCAGGGGAAAGGGTTGAATTTTTATGGTGATTTAGAAACTTGAAAAGTAGGTTCAGTCTCCTCTAGAATCTTAAGTGACTAATAGTACATCCATAAGAGAGGCTCATAAACATGGACTTTCTTTCCAGATGCAAGAGATGAGCTATTTTCAGGATACACTGGGCATCTAAGAGATTGTAACACTAAAATCTCTCTGGACTGAGGCAAGCAGAAGTCAGCAAAAGCAGAGTCAAAAAGTTGATACATCACATTTCGAACATTTTCTCTCAACTCTAGTCACATAAATAAAAGTTAAATCATTCACTAACCTTTGGCTGTTAGGTCAGGATTGAAGTTCTGTGTTGCCTTTTTTGGCTGAATTGCGCCTAGATTTCCTGCCTCCATTTCTTAAAAGCATTTGTCCCTTAAAGGCCTTTGTGAAAACACATGGGTGCAAAATCTTTCTAGATTTTTTTACTATAGTTTTCCAGTCTTTCATAATTGTCAATTCCACACCTAAGTAGTAGTAACTCGTTTGTTGATGTTGCTTTTTGTTTTAGCTTTATAGGTTTTTTTGTGATTGAGATAAAATTCACTATGTTAATATTTTTAAGTGGTACAATTCAGTGATTTTTAGTACTTACATGATGTTAGAAAACCATCACCACTATGTAATTCTAGAACATAGCCATCTCTCCAAAAAGAAGCGCTGTACCCATTATCAGTCACTATCAAGTCCCTCCACCCCCATTACCTGGCAATCTACTTTTTGCCTCTATAGATTTGCCTATGGTGGATATTTCATATAAATGGAATCATACAATGTATGGTCTTTTGTGTCTGGCTTCTTTCACTTGGTGTAATGTTTCATGGTCCATCCATGTGCTGATATTGTTTTTAAAATGGCTTACTTTTATGGGCCTATTTGGCAATCAACTTAGTTTTCATAGAAATAGCATTCTTTGGTATTTGCATTACATCAGTTTATGTAATATTTAATTAAATTGCAAAATTACAATAGCAAGTTCTACAGGTATAAACAAGACTATGACCAAACACTACTGTAAGTGTGCACATGAGCTGATCAAAGCAAAGTACATCAGCTTACTGTCAGGATGGCTATTTGCCACAGTGGTCTCAGTGCTCTGAGCAAAAACCAGTACGTGTTTCAGAGGGAAAGGAGAGCACTGGTCAATCCAATGTGTTGTTTTAGTGTTGGTCAGTACTCCATTAACCAGGATGGAGGGGGAAACAAGCAGAGGGTGTAGGGGTGATACACCAGCACAGGCTCAAGTGGCCCCCAAAAGGAAGTCTTCTATACATCTTCAAAAAGGAGCAAGGATGTACTCCCATAAAGACAGGTATTCCCTTCTGCTTCTATAACCCTTCACCATCCTACCCATCTCTCGACGAGCAGCTCAAACGAGTCCCTGTCTATAAAGTCTCCCCTAAGCCTTGACTCCTCACAGTGCCTGTATGCTCTCTCCCCTTCCTTTTAATTTTCCAAGTACTTCTCTCTCTCTTAAGGTGGTTACAAATGGTATTATAGCTAGTCATACAAAGTCTTTTCTTCCATACCAGGCTGTACCCTGCTTCGGAGGTAGATTCTGTATCTTTATATCCCCTACTACCACCAGCATGGGAAAAGAGGTGCTCAAAATAGAAACTTTATACAGATCTTTAACAAAATGTATAAGTTCAACAAGTATTTATTAAGTAAATAATGAATAAGCACATTAATGAAATAATTAATAGTGTGTAACTTCCTCCCTGGCCACAGCAACTCATCCCATTCATGGATGTGCAGCCCAAGGAGGGACGAGGATGCGATGGGGCAGAGCGGCCGGCAAACGAAGACAATCAACTACTCTGGGTGTCTGGCAGCCCTCAGAAATCGTGACTCTCCTCCAAGTGTTTAACAGAGACAACTTTCAAATAGGACACCGTCAGATAATGACACTTCCTGATGTCCTTTGATGTAGAACAAATTAAAAACAGAGACAGAGAGAAATTCTGTGTACTTGAAATGTCCCAACATCGTCAAGCGTGGATTTGATTTTCCTCAATTAAATTATTATACCACTTTAATGGGTTAGTTTTTAGATATACTAGAATGGAACTCATAAGAAAATAGCTTCCAAATTGGTGATTTTTAAAAGCAAAGCAATTGGTTAGGTAAGGAATGCATAAACAACCCCCAAAGCTGCACTGAATACTTTTTTTTGGCTGTATATGACTGAAAAACTGCCAAGTTCATTTCGATAAGCCTTTGTTAAAAACAATAAACATGCCTGAGCTTGCAAACCAGGCCGTTTTGAAGAAAAAGCAATTGAGAGAATTAGAAAATGCTTAAAACTGCAATGTCTGATTAAAAACAACTTCCCTGGTAACGGATTTACCAATAAGTCACAACACTCTGCTGCCTATGAATACGGAGGGAAGTGAGGGACAAAAATATAAAGGGAGACAAAATAAAAGTAGAACACCAGCTTTATAAATAAAGAAGAAGGTACACCTTACAAACTAATACAGTTACCATCTGCAACACTAACATGGGAACACTAACACTATTGGGAAAACTAATCTTGCCGTGCTTCACCAAGTTTAACATCACCACGATGATGTCCCTGCACTGAAAGAAATGTACTTTCAGGGACTCCAAATGAACATACATGAGATAACCAAACGTGGGAACCGCTATTCACATAGAGTAGAATGTCAGTTCCTGAAAGTCAACGTAACTTCACCTCAATTTGCTTGTTCGTCTTTGGTGACTATAGAATCAACAGAATCGTGAGATTGGAAGGAAGACAGTTTGGAACATTTATGTCCGTTTCCCTGCTTTAGGCAAAATTGAAATTCTCTTCTATCTGCCAAACAAAATCCTGGAAAAAATTCTAATGAATGAATGGTGACTTGAGCTCCATAGGATAAAGTTCGTTGCTTCGTTCATTGACATATGCCAAATGCCCAGAACAGCACTGAGCACATAGCAGGCACTCAATCAATAGCTGTTAAATTGAACTAAACTGAAAACCAGGCAACACAATGCTAAAATAAAAATAAATAAAATAAGTCAGTTTAAAATTCCTTTCTCAGCTCTGTTAGAGATCATGGTATTAATCACAGCAAACAAACGGCCATCAGATAAGCCACTTCCCTCAAGTCGGCTCCACAGTTACAAACCACACCTTTAACTCTAACAGGTTGTCACCATAGGGGGCTGAGAATCAGAAGAGACTCCAAGGAGCGATGGGGGTAAATTTAGTCCCATCTGTTTTGATTACTTTTCTTCTTCTGGAAGTTCACCCGGGATGTATCTGCATATTCATTTTCATATAAGAAGAAAGTAAGATATTATTTAAAATTAAGTGTTTGTATATTTTTTAATTGTGCTACAAAGGCAGTTGACTAAATCAACCTCTCTCATCTAATTCAGAATCCTGCCAGTTAAAAAAGAGAGAGAGAGAGATAAAAAATACGAACAGGAAAATGATACGACTAGGTGATTCTAGTCGTATCATTTTTGTTCAAAATGCCTGGAGGTAACATGCCTTGAAAACTGAATTAAGTGGGATGGACAAGGCCTGGATTCTGGTGTCGATTCCATCACCAACTGACAGTCTGAGCTTAGTCAATCCTTGCCAAGTGGAACCTGAGCTTCCTGGGCTGTAAAGTGAAGGGTTTGAATAGAGGATCCCTAAAAGCCTTTTCAATTTTCAAGATCCTGTGATTATAAGTGATCAATTCCAGTCACTTAATTACTACTCCTTACTTCCACCCTTTCTTTCCTCAACAGACATATGTTGGGCACCTTGGGAGGGTCAGGCACCATTAGCCTAGATTGCCATGACATTTTAGGGGGTGAGGGGGGAGACAAACCATGCAGGAGTAGTTGATGATTTTTAAAAGCTAATGATCTCGGATATCTGTGGAGAGAGTGTGTTTCTGAATTTGGCAGACCTGAAAACTTCCTCCTGGGTTAAGCTGGCTGCACCACGGCAGTGCCCAGCTCTCAGCAAAGAAATAGGTAGGATGAGCCGATTAGGGTCCTTTCAAAACAGAAGAGTTTAACCGGCATCCTGGCAGGTCCTATCCAACACAACATTAAAAAAAGAAGAAAAAGAAAAAGTTCTAAAAGGTCCAGAATGCTGAGCTGTGAAAACAGAAGGCTAACCAAATAGTCCCAGCACTTAACTGGAATCGTGCTTTAAAATTTTGCTGCGAACACTTTTCCCCGAGTCCACACTACAGGTCACTGCTCTTCTTTGAGGAAAGAAGCAACTGAGAAATTAAGTTCAATCAAGTGAAGGTTTTGCAGGCTGGTGTGTTTTCAGTACACCACACACTAGAAATAAATATTATTAGCTGAGGCAGAGGGGAGATTAAAAAAAAAAAAAAAAGATACACTGAAAGCGGAGAATGCAGAAGAAAGGCGGTCTCCGTCGCATCGAGAAGTCTGCATTTGGAAACCACAAGAAATGAGGATCAAAGCCGCTCCTCTCCAGCCACCTGCCCAGAAACCATGGGCGCGCCGGCACAATTCTGACAGGGCAAGTGGGCACGTGTCTCTCTCCTAACCAAACAGGCGCTCCGAGAGACCCGGCTAGGGTCACCCGCTCACAGCGACCTGCTGGGCGCTGGGGCAGCGGGGAGCGAATGGAGAGTCCTCCGCCAGCTCCACGAAGCCCAGCTCTAGCGCTCCGCCGCCCAGCGGCGAAGGATGCCTGGGTCACCTGAGCCACCGCGCCCTCGGCACAGCCGAGCCCGGGAGCGGGAAGATGGTGAGCCAACGGGACTCCCCGGCCCGCGCGGTGGGGATCTAGGCGCCAGAGCCGCCCGCGGGAGACTGCGCCCGGGCAGCCCAGCGGGGCCAGGCTCCAGCGCTCCGCAGCCCGCCCAGAGCGCGCAGACATCCCCCTCTTCCGCCCGACCCCCTGCCACGCCCGTGCCCAGCCCGGGCCCGCCGCGTCCTCACCTCGCGTGGACCGCTGCAGCCCGGGCAGTGGCTCGCGGACATGCCCCGGGGCGCACCCACCGTGCCGCGTCCCTGCTCGGTGGCCCCTTCCCGGGCCCCAAGCGCCGCGGTCCCCGCGTCCTAGGGGCGGGGAGAGCACCGGGCGGAGACGCCGACCAGACTGGGACCGGGGGCCCCGCGGGCAGCGTGGGAGGAGTAGCGTCGCGGGGAAAATCCCAGTGCCCGACCCCGAAATGCACTGGCAAGTTCAGCGCCCCCAGCTCTGCCGTGGACTCTGCCGGCGGGCGAAGGGGATTTATCCCTGGGATCCGCTCTACGTGCTGCGACTTGGCGAGGGGTGAGGGGCGAGCGGAAGGAGGGACGACTCGCGCTTATGTAATGGATCGGCCCGCTGTGTCCCGAGCCAGCTTGCTCCAGGACTGCCCGACCCTCCCCGGAACAGCCGTGCATGCCCCTGACCTAGGCAAGCAGAGGGGGTGCGGTGTTCTCAAAAAGAACTTTTCCCTGTAGGCTCAAAGAGCAAGATCTGGAGAAGGAATGCAAAGACTCCCTTAGGCGTATCTGGAAGGGATCTGTCAGCCAGCCCTTCTCATTTCACAGCGCAGGAAACTGAGGCCCCAAACTGTTAGTTAAAAGCGTTGTCTCTTGGAGTTAGATGGACCTGGACTCAACTCTCCCGAAAAGCTCGTGACCTTGGGCAAGTTACTTAAGTCTCTGAGCCTCAATTTCTTCACCTGTAAAGCGAGAAGAATAATAGTGTCCACTTCATGTGGTTGCTGGAAGGACAAAATGAATGAGGTGCGGGCGTCCGGTACGTAACACGCCCCCGGTAAACGTTACTGCTGATTGTGCTAAGGTTCACCCAACTCCTCGAATGTTCCTTAAAGTCCGCTGTGTCACTGTCCTGGAGAAGGAGCTGCCCGAGTCTGCCAAGAGGTACCCGCAGTAAGGCAGGTTCCAGGCGAACCTTCCTGTAAATTACTCACCCTGTCAGAAGCGAGTTCTCCGAACTGACAAGGACTGATTCCAACTTCTTAAGGTTTACATCCTTGCTGCTCAACAGCGTCGTCACCGTCTGGGAGCTTGCTAGAAATGCGAAATCTCAGCCCCAACCCCCGATCCTCTAAATCATAATTTGCATTTTAACAAGAATCCCTAGGTGACAGTGAGTTGTACATCAAAGTTTCAAAATGAGTTCAACTTTTTGGAAAATTTGAGAAGGGAGCTAATAAGTTACCAAGCAGGGGCCACATAATACCTTAGGGTATTTTTTTAAATAGACTAGTGAAGTCCTTCCTCATTTTACCCTCCGGCTATTTTGTGTCTTTCCCTCCCTCGGTTTCCTGCTCTTTACCTATAAATCTGGATTTAAGTCCTATTTTCACATGCAAAAAACCCTGGGTTACATCTAAGTAATGATTAGTGAATCTATATCTAAAACACACATAAAAATTAGCAAATACACCTGTAAAAGAATTCATTAGCATTGAAAATGGGCTTATAAAGGTAGAGGCAGCGATGACCCCTGAGCTCTCAGCCGTGAAGGTCCTTAGGTTAAAGGCTTGAATGCTTTTGCATTTCAGAAAAATACTTCTCTTAGTTAAACATTGTTTTGGGTGACAAATTAGCCCATTCTCCGGTTAAATAACATAGGACAATCAGTTCTTTGAAAAAGTTTTGGAGAATAGACAGAAATCTCGCAGGCTTCCTTCCCTCTAAGTCACCACGTATAGGGGCTCTAGCAAAGCCCAAAGCAAATATTTTGTTTACGTCATTAAATGATGTGTGTTTGGGTTTTGTTTTGATTCTTAGAGTGTTCAGATTTGGTTTGCCTGATTCTGTCTCCGGCAGAATGATTTTCGCCTTTGAGAGTTGAGTAATTGTGGATTGTTGATGCTGATGACGTGGCTAATGCTGATAGGCAGTGCCTGATGTGGAAAGGTCACTTCCGTCTGCCTACCTCTTGGGGCTCCGGTTCAAGGCTGTTGAACAAGCTGATGCCATGAGGGTGGGCAGTGTGGAGGTGGAATAGGGGAAGATGGGTAGGGGAAAGGAATCTCCTTTCTCTGACGTTGGAGGGTTGGGAGGGCTGAGTTGGAGGAGGAAAAAGCCTTCTGCTTGCCCTAGAATCCAACCAGGAGGAAAGAAAAAAAATGCAGGATTTCTTCTAAATAGCTCTATCCAGTAGAACTTTCTGCAGTGGTGGAAATGTTCTATGTTCGTGCAGTCTGATACAGCTGTGTAATGTGGCTATTTTAATTCAATTTTTTTTTTTTTTTTTTTTTGAGGAAGATTAGCCCTGAGCTAACACCTGCCGCCAATCCTTCTCTTTTTTGATGAGGAAGGCTGGCCTTGAACTAACATCAGTGCCCATCTGCCTCTACTTTATATGTGGGACACCTACCACAGCATGGCTTGCCAAGCAGTCCTGTGTCCGCACCCGCGATCCGAACCGGCAAACCCTGGGCCACCGAATCGGAACGCGCGAACTTAACTGCTGCGTCACCGGGCCCGTCCTGTGCTATTGTTTTTTAGTCTGTTGCAATCACCACATTTCATGTGCTCCATACCAACTTGTAGCTAGTAGGTTCATCACAGAAAGTTCTATTGAACAGTGGTACTTAAAGGCCAGGATTTTGGTGAGGAGATAAGCCCAGATATTCTAGCTTCTCCAAATCGTAGTCAGAACCTCATCTCTCCTAATATGGGTGGAGGAATGATAATTAAATCTAGGTCACTGAGTTCTCTGAGAATCAAAATGGGATAACCCAGAGAATGTGCGGTATGCAATGCCTTGCACATAGTAAATGCACAAAGAATCTTAACCAGTATTAATACTAATAGTCGTTTTACATTTATAAGCTGGGGGGACATGGTGCTAAACTTGCATCACTATTAGTTAAATAGCCTTATACTGATGTGGTCAGCTGCTCTTGGTACCTCAACTACTGTTTATAGCTGTGCCCGAGGCCCCTCCCTTCGCCCCTTCCTCCTCATTCAGAGCTGGGCACCACCTGTGCTATTCTGGCTGGTGCTAACGTTCACCCAACTCCTCAAATGTTCCTTAGAGTCCGCTGCCTCACCGTCCTGGAGAAGGAGCTGCCCGAGTCCGCCAAGCATACTTGGTCAAATCCCTACCACTTATATCCAATAAATATCAAGTGTGTTAACTGAAACCACATAGCACCATGGTTCAGGGTAATCAATTTTCAGAGGAGATTCTCAGAAGCGTGCCACCTTAGGTACATCCATTATGGAAAGAATTGTTTGTTCCCGTTATTTGGTCAAACAAGGATGTGTGGACTCAGCGGAGAGAAATGAGAACATTGGCTCCAGATAAGTAATATTCGGGGTGCCCACGTCAGACCGGAAGCTACCAGAAGGATGGGGGTTTGGGATGGAAACTTGAGGCTTTTGCCTACATACAATTTGAAAGTTTATTTTCATGACTAACAAAGATTCTAAGGATAACTACCAACAGCATAAAAAAGACGCAAGTATTTTACGCTGTCAGTTATACAAATTAGGGCAATACATAGAATGGGAAATAGTGAAATTCTTCCCTGCACACAGAGATACATAGATTTCTGAATAACCTCAGACTCCTGTCCTTCTGACTTCGTAAGATCACATCCTGTGGGCACCTTGCAGATCCCACTTTTATTGTTTTCCTTAGTTTCTTTTTCATCATTTTACTTCTTAGGAACATTTTCTTAGAATTCAGCACCTATTTCTCTATCTCCTTTCTTAGCCCTTATCCCAAACCCCCTTTGTCGTGACTGTGGCTAACACCTGCCTGTCAGAAGCAGTGCGTTCCCATTTCTGACCTCTCTCTGAACTCCAATTCTTGTCACCAGACCTCCAGTGGATATTGTCTCTTAAATGCTCCCCACTCATCACTTCAAATGCTCACCTATCAGGAACTGAAGCTATCATTATAATCTACCCTTAACTCCCTCAAAACTTTCTAGTTTCTTCTCTCTGACATCACTGCCTTGGTATCTGGTGCTAAAATTCTCTCATTTACTGTGAGTTGAAGCCATGGAATCATTTTAACCCATTTTCCTTCTTCATGGAGTCATGGTATAACTGAAAGACATCGAATTTGAAATTAGAAGACCAAAGTAAAAATCCCATTTTTGCTACTTTGTAGCAGTATGATCTTAGTAAATTTCTTAACCTTCCTAAGCCTCAAGTTTCTCATCTATAAAATTAGGTCAGGGGCCAGCCCAGTGGCACAGCGGTTAAGTTTGCACGTTCCACTTCTCGGCTGCCCAGGGTTCGCCTATTCCGATCCCAGGTGTGGACATGGCACCACTTGGCATGCCATGCTGTGGTAGGCGGCCCATGTATAAAAGTAGAGGAAGATGGGCATGGATGTTAGCTCAGAGCCAGTCTTCCTCAGCAAAAAGAGGAGGATTCGCAGTGGTTAGCTCAGGGCTGATCTTCCTCAAAAAAAAAAAAAAAAAATTAGGTCAATAGTACCATTCAAAAAATATGGCTTGAGCAGGTACTTATCTCAGCCTCTTGCTAATTAGATCAGACTCTCACCCTCCTCTCTAAAGACGTTTTGGACCTGATAATTCTTTGTTGTGGGGCTGCCTTGTGCATTGGAAGATGTTTAGCAGCATCCTTGATCTTACTACCCATTAGATGCCAGTAGTAACCCTCCTAGTCATGACAATCACAATTGTCTTCAGACATTGCCAAATGTCCCCTGACTGGGGGCAAAATCATCCCCTGTTGAGAACCACTGGGTTAGAGGAATTCTGGGAAGAGCAGTAGTGCCTTCCTTTCTGAGTCTCCAAGGATTGCATGAGATGAAGAATATGAAAGTGGCTGCACAGCGCTTGACCAGGTCAACATTTGCAGAATGTGGATGTCAACTCATTCTTGAAGCTCTGTCAGTTGAGGTGTTCTCTGAAGATCACATTGAAAAACATTTTTAGAAAAAAAATGAGTTTACATTGTATTGTCCTGAATTATTCTTATATCCTAGCCAATATTGTTTTTTAATTTAAGCAACAATAAAACAAATTTCTTATATTACATTTTTTTAATAATTTTGCTCTCTCCCTATCTATTCTTACTGCTCTCCAGACTCATATCTTCTCCTGCATGGA